TTGATTCACTTTTTAATGAACTGGGAAAGCCTGTGAACCTAAACCCTGACACCTCCACCTCCCTCCCATCCTAGCCATCCCTGCAGCAATGTACTGATTATATTTCAAGTTATTATGGGATTAATACAGCTGCCCCTGGCGCCTCTTTCCCCTGAACTTCATCAATAAAAGTTGTGTACTACTCTTACTCCAGTTAGTTCAGTTTATTCCTGAATTTCTCCCTATAACCTGTGATGTGTCAGCAAGGCTGTATCATATCAGCCCGTCAAAGCTGCCAATGCTGCCAGTGTTTAAAACCTACTTGTGTCACGGCCTTGCATAAGCTTTGTGTATTTAAGAGGACATCTTGAGCTTTGCTATGCACTGTAAGTGGGTAGCACATACTTAGCACTATTAAAAATAATGAAATAAGATAATCCACAAAAAAAAATTAAATAGATTGTGCCACTGTCATCTTTCTTTGAATTCACAGTAGAGCTATAAAAAAATACTCTACACAGGCAAGTTCAGTGGAAGAAAAAAAAAGGGTGGGGGGAGCAAAAGATCTGGGCCAGCACAATCCAGTTTTTCACCAACAGCATGTCTTTATACGGTACAAGCTTTAGGTTTACTTTTTCTGTTGGTGTTATAGGTTGTTCCCCCCCCCGAATCCTATTTTCTAAAAACATCATTAAAAATTTAATTAACTGGCTTATTCTTTGGAAAGTCTGCAATTGTTTACAAAAGAATTGCCACACAAGCTGCCACCTTCGACTGTGTTGAAGCAGGAAGTTATGCTCTTGTTTACAACTGTGCATCAATTCCACAATATATTTAGTTTTGGTACAAGTTACATATAAAAGTCTTACTGAGCTTAATGTTGCAGCAAATAACACATATAGTAAGCGAGTAGGATTTATCACTGGCTGTAATGTCATAGCACATATTCTAAATATATACGGTGAGTGATATATACACATGCACAAGCAAACAAAATGGTAATATATTTAGTTTAAGAAGTGACGAATTGTGTTTGCTTTCATTATTGTCATTTTGTGTGTAGGAAAATGGAGATCAAGCACATCCATGAAAAGGGTGGCTGGTTGGGATCGCATCCTTTCAGCAGCACACTCACCGACGAGCAGGTTAGAGAAGAAACAGCACTTTGCTACCCATGGCACGAGACAGGTAGTCCCTCAGGAGTGAGGGACCCAGTGTGGACGGTGGGATACAAACAAATCCCATGGACTCCCAAAATGCTCCCAAAAAGCACAAAACACCTATCCGGCTAAAACACTTCCCCCAAGATGTTTTATTCAAGCTTTTTTCTTAAAGAAGGAAGTGGAAATCTTCTTTTTTAAATTCAGTTTTCTTCCCTCTCTCCCCCCTCTTTCGGTCTCTCCCATAAACACAGAGGCCAGAAGGCTATGCTTAAATAATTCATCTACAAATTTGCAATATCTTTTTGAACTATAGCAATTAAACGGAAAATAGAAAAATCAGCTCAGCATCCTGTTTGGATGTAATTAAAGGTATAATCTGTTCCATTTGAATACTTCAGTGCTTACTCTTCTTAAAACAACAAATAAGAATAGTAGCTCATTTGCAATATGTTTTTTTTCAAGTCAGCTAAAAAGACTAACTGATGAAGCAAGAATAATAATTCTTAAATGTGGCATAAGCACAATAATACCAACTACAGCTTTCGAATGATTGCTGCAGATCTCAAGTCTGATGAAAGTTCAGGAACAAGGGGTATAAGCTTTATGGCAAAACACCAAAGTCTTCCACTATTTGGTATCAGCATCTCGATATGGCTGATATAATTACCTATCAAATACATCAGTGGAATGAATATCAGAGGATATCCGAAAATATGTAAGTGGGATGCATATCAGCTCAGTCTTTTAGGCACTGTTTGATCTTAAGGTTTTTTTCTAAGAATAAAAGACAAATACCGCATTCGTTGCCCTTTTGTTTTCTATAAGCAGCTGAAGATTTTACAGCACAATAAGGTTAGCCTATTAATGGCTGGCTTATGAGTTTTTGCTGGATTTTTACTCTCCTGCTGGACATTTCTTCACTGCTCAAAGAAATTGAAGTCAGGTGTAAAGTTAATATCTGCCTTGTTCATTTATTCATATTGTAAGCAATCAAGATTTCCCCAAATCACAGGGCAATCTCTTGCCTTTCGAGAATTAATATAGGCCCCGTTCTCTCAATTTAGCTTAACAAAACAACTGGCATAAGTTCAATGGAAGCAATGATTATTCTGAGAGGTTATGGCGAACCACAGAAGTTGTTAGCGAGAAGTTTGCTTGTAAGATCCCCTAAGAGGAAAAGTATATGGATATTTCAAAATGTAATTAACAGCATATCCCAACAATGTGAAAAAGAAACATCGTCTGGTTTAGCTGCAGAGGAACCTGGCTGCCCAGGGAGAGCTTTGGCTTGCCCAGCAGGCACCACTCCCTTAAGAGCAAAGGACAGGACGAGCACCAGAGGGGACCACTCACTGCTGTTGAGAAAGGCACCTGGGCAGGCTCTGTCCATGGGGGATCCCTTCATGCAGCCAATCTCCCTGTGCTCATCAGCACAGCTCCATCGTCACAGGCATTTCACTGGGTCCAGGACCCAACCAGAAAGAGTAATTTTTTTTTCAAAAAGGCCTTTTGTCTCTCCACTATACTCTCTCAAAAAAATTCTTTTGGGACAGGAATGTCTCAGGCATCCTTTTGGTCTTAATGCTATGGTTTGTGTGACTGTTTCAACAAAATTGTTGAGAGTTGTTTGGTTTTGTTTGGGTTTTTTATTGTTAAATATGTAGCAGTGAATAAAAACAATTCTAAAAAGCAAAATGCTCTATTTCTGAAACATTTTGATCATTTAAAAAAAATCGATTTTCAAACTCAGCATCTGTAAGCTGAGGTGAATAATGTAGCAGAGAACCAATTTAAACAGATAAAATGCTGACAAAAATGTACGAGCAATATTACACATGGGAACAAAATGACACAATGGTCTACAAGGCCTCTATTACAATAGGAGTATGACAGAAGTTTAAGCTCAAATTTGTTGAAAGTTAGCACCTATTAAAACTTCCAGCCTTCCTGGGGTTGCATGCTTTGCTGTTTGAAAGCCCAGGCTCTCTTCAGGACCAGCCCTTCAGGGGTGTGAACCCCACACAGTGTTTCTCAAGCATCGCCCTCCTGTGGGGGCCTTCAGTGGACAAGCCAGAGGTGAGTGGGGCAAAAAAAGCCACCAGGCAGGACTAAGGCTTACACCCCCAGCTACCACCTTACAGCCTATTACCTCCCCTGAGCTGTGTATCCTTCTGCACACCAAAAACATTTCTGTGAACTTAACGCCAGAACTACTGTTAAAAGAAACATAACAACAAAATTGACTTGTTAAAAATACCCACAGAGAATGAGGGGAGAAGAAATTCCTCAATACAGTAGTGTCTGTCTCGAGTAAACAGGACTTTTTTCAGGTCTTGGGTTTAGACATAAGACCACTCTACCTCAGGTGAATGAACTACTGTCAGCTGGGCCATTTTCACCGAGGTCGAAGCACAGGCATTTTCCTTGCCATTTGCCAGGAGCCCAAAGCCTGCACAGCTGGCACGTATCATGTTGCCTTCTACCGTGTTGTATCGTTTCATGTAGGATGGTATGGCTGCTCAGCCGGTGGCACGTGGGCCTTTGTTACCCATGTGCCTCCTGACACAGCAGTTTGCCCTGCAGCAATCACCTACCCCATGGGTCACACTCCAGGAGTAGGACCCAAGCCATTTCACTCCCATAAGGAACATCTCTTAGAGACAAGAACCTGTGTCTAAATGAAGCAATGCTTATCTCATGCATACCACAGGTGTGATGTCATCCCCTCTGGCAGAGGAACCAGGATGTCTACAGCCTTCACTGTACAAAAATGCAGGAACTAAACATGTCTCAGACTTCGTTAAAATGTGGTGATAATTAAGAAACACAATTACCACTACAAAGTTAATTCCTCTTTGAGTTCTTACAAACAAGTTTTTAATTTGCACCAAAAATTTAAATTTCAGATTTCAAGTCAACCATGAATGGTACAAGCTTGGCCAAGGACTCCAGGCAGTAGCTGGTAGGTTCTGTAAGGCTTGGGGCAGGAGCACTGTGGCTTCCCAGGAATGTCACTGGCAAACAGTCACCAGCAGACCCCAGCACACACAGGTAAGCCGATGGGATTGCTGTGAACTGTCTCATCTGTTGTACAAGTGTCAAAATAATCGCCGTGTCAGCTAAACTTTTGCTTTTTATTAAAAAACAAACCCCACCAAACTTATAAGGTAATTGATTGCTTTCTTCTAGTCTTTTATTAGTTGTGATTAAGGAGCTACAGTAGTCCTGTTTACACAGCTCTAACAAGTCAGGACCTGCAGTACGTTATTGGCTTGCGGCCCACAACTTGCCGTCCATTCTCAACAGAATCAATCTGAAGTTGAAAACATCCCCCGTAGGAAGCGTACACATCCCTGCTCATACAGGAACAGAAACAGTAATAACTTCGGGTCCTGTAAGTTGCAAGTTCAACTTACAGAGATCAGCCCTGACTTGTCATTGCTCTCAGCGTGTTCGTGATGAGATCAGAGCGCTTCACAAAGGACTCATACTTGCAGCTTGACAAGGGACATAGGTGAGCGTGAAACACTCCACTGTTACTCGCCACTCACTGCAGAAATGAATCGAGAGCTCCTCGCTGTTTAACATGCAGTCAAAGCACTGCCAATCTAAAATGGCTGATCAGTAATACTTTAATTGCAGTTTCATAGAAACAAATTGCTATTTAATTGCAATAAGCTTGTCTGTGGCTTAGCTGGACTGACAACAGGCATCCACCTGGTAGTAACAGTAACAAGCAGCAACAAAGGTTACCTGGTACTGCACATACGGAAGGCTCAGGCAGTGCCATCAGACCCAGAACACATAATTTCACACTGAATAAACATAACACTTAAAAAAAATTATATTCATAAAATGTCCTAATCTCAATTTTATCTGTTATTTTAATAGAGCTGTTCAGAATGTAGATCTTTGCAAAAAGCCTCACACTTGACATACAACTGCCAGCCAAATAATTAGATAAAAAATTTAAATTTACATTTTGAAATCACAGAATCAGGTTAGAAAAGACTTCTGAGATCATCAAATCCAACCTATGACCTACAATCACCACCATGGCAACTAGACCATGGCACTGAGTGCAACATCCAGTCTTTCCTTAAAACTTTTTAATGGACAGTGACTCAACCCCCTTGATAGCAAGGCATACTATGCCAGTATCTGAGTTGAATTTTTGGGTTTTTTTTGGGTTTTTTTTTTTTTTTTAGTATTTACCTCAATATTAGATGATGCAAATTTTATCAGGGTTAACTAACAGGAAAAAAGGGAGACAAACTCAGTGTGGTTAATATTCTAAAGATGTGACTTAATTTCCTAGGCTTCATTTTGGTAAGACATTCTCATTTTATATTTCATAAGATACTGCATAACCTGTTAAAATATTTAAAGATAAATCATGTAGGACTGAAAAGACAGTATCTTGTTGCAAACAGAATTTGGTTTGGAAAGGCTTAATGTCCCACTGCCTGCCAGGATGCGTAAATCTCATAACTAGACAGCTGGATAGGTAAAAACATTAAACCCATTTAGAGGGCAATCTTTTTACAAAATTGTTTCATTAATAAGAGTGACAATTTATATGATTGAGACGTTTAGATGCAGTATAGACAGAGCATTTTATCCAGGTTCAGGAGGATGATTTCAGATTAGTAGTATTCCCTCTAATTCTTTTTTTAACATTCATTTTTGAAAGAGAAGCTCTTGCTAAATGATTATTTGTATGACTTTTCAGCAGCACTAAATGCAGAGGGTGTATTTCAGCCTCAGTGCAGCAAATATAAGTGATAAAAGGTGAACAAGTACGTGTTTTTTCTTTACAGATCTACTTAAAAAAAAGTGATTTTTCATATGAGAACAAATCTAAGTGTTTCCAGTAGCCTTCTCTCCACACCTACCATCCCCATTAGAGCCTGTTTTATTGTCTGAAATGCCTCTGGTTTCAAGAAAGTGTTTTACCTAAAGCAAGAATACTACTTAAATATGTTCTATTGTATATTCATAGCTCCATTAGTCCTCCTCCAATTTAGCACATCAAAGCAAAGGCTTCATCACTTGCATGTGGATTATGCTAACATGAGTGACATTTGTAATCTTATAGGTCTGCAACTTAAGAAATGCTTTTAAAGTAAGCTATTAAATAGGTAGCTGTGCTTTACAAATGAGTCATATAATAGTTTATTTAAAGCTGTTAACGAACTTCAACCTCTACATCACTAAATGCAATACTACATTACTTACTAGAAGTTATTAGCTATCTTCTTAGCACTTCTAGGTTATATTGGACAACCAAAAATCTGTACATGTTAGATTTAAACACTGTACCTTGAGTGCTTACAGTGAAAGAATAGAAAAAGATGTCTACAGTCTCACTAATGCTTGAATTTTATATTCATGTGACTTCAACTGTCTTTTCAAAGATATTGAAGCAGCACAATTTACAGGACTACCTAAAGACTTTAATGCCAGATCAAAAAGCTTAAAAACTTATTTAAAATACACATTAGGTGCATTTAATTAAAAAAAAGTCAGTCATTTATGCTGTGCTTTATATGTTATGCAAGTACTCTTTGTCTGTACTGATACTGTACATTACTGCATTTTCTGTTCTCTGAAACAGTGCTTCTTCCTCAAGCACTGAAGTGTTAAAAGAAGTTCAGCTGCCCATCAACATACTAGAGGCCATGAAGTAGAATTTGAAACAAAAACATCTGCTGTCAGTTGTTTAGACAGACAAATCTATAAATCAGATTTTTTGTGTATCGGCATCACAACAAAAATAATTCACGCTCACTCCGTAACCAAGCATGCTGATCAGAGAACATCTTCTCAAAAACAGAATTAAAAAAGATAACATAATGATGTGTTCCAACTGTATTAGTTTCCTATAAAAGTAGAGTAGTTGTTAATATTGATTTACTATTAATTGCAGCAGAGGCACATTTGGTGCTTGCAGTTTCCTGACTGAAGGCATATAATGCACAGCCATAGATCCATGTTAAGATTCTTGCTAAAAACACGAAATGTCAGATTTTTTTTTTTCCTCAAAATTATTTTGCACAGCTCTACCACCAAGCAGCTGATGGGAAAAAGGCAAAAAATGAAGTTGTTCCCTTTCTAAGATTAGAGGTGGCTCCGTTGCTTTGTGGGGAGGTGGTTTTTGTTTGTTTGCTTTCAGAGAACAGATCATATTTGAGATCAGCCAGTTCTCAGAAATATCCCAGGAAACATTTTTCTTTCCTTAAGATTATCGGTGTTGCGAAGTTAAATCTCTTACCACAGCAAACACAACTTTACGTCGTTCAGATCAGAATAGCTATTGTATTCCTTTTTATGAATACTCAATTCTAGTGCTCAGCATGAGGTACAAACCTTTCTCTGGTTTTAATTTTTTTGGCCTCCTATGGCATATACATACCCTCTCATGCTTGCAAGCTCAGAGACACATGCACAGCCTTAACACACGTGATTCTGAAGGGAGGAAATTATTAGAAAGATACCACAGTACCCATGTGTGTACTGAACTCACTGCAATGTGAACTACAATGTACTTGCTGTCACCAGAATTAAGAATCTCCATGAAAAATAATTTTGAAGTAGTGCTCTGCATCCTTGCCAAAAGTAACATGGTCAAGTAGTTTAACGTATTCTTTACTGGCATAAGAAAAAAGAAACAAAACAAAACCAAAAAGCTACTTTTAAAGGTAATTGACAATTAAGGTAACAACTATGTAAGACAGAGTTGCGGAATAATGTTTTGAATGTAATTTAAAAACTGGAAAAAAAAAAGGCAAAGCTTCTAAAACCCGTACTCAATTCAGTTTTGTTTGTTTTACTTTTTATTATTTAAATACACCATACTAGAGCAAATGTCTCTGAAAATATCACAAATAAAAGATTTTTCTTCATTCAGCAAATTAGAAGTAGGTGAAAATTTCTACACAGTAGCTGCTATGAGCCTGACTTTTTTTTCTTTTTTTTTTTTCTTTTTTTTTTTTTTGCCATGGGAAGTAGCAACATTAGGACAAAAACACTTACATGCATACATACATTGTATTTTACAGAGATACAATAAAAGTGTTTGTGATAGAATATCACAAAAGCCACATCTTTTATCTCATGTTCAGTTTGATTGAAACACATTTCCTTACAACACTTAAATATACAAAGAGCAAATAGAATGTTGTTAAGGTAAAACACAGGGTACAAACTGGCCAGTGCCCTGCTAATTGTTAATGAGGGTAGAAAGCAGATTTCAATGCTTCTTTTAATTAGCTTCATTAGTCATCTTCCCCACCCGCCCCCCCCAAAGATGTCCTCCGGTGGATCTTTTTTCATTTTCTCTACAGTCTCCCATTAGCCCAGGTTCATGGAGTCCTTAATGTTCATATTCAGTCATTTTAATACACCAATAAATGTGGGAAGGGCAATCAAGAATAAAGAAGGTGCAATGGTATGGAGCTGGCATTGATGCTAGCTACAAAGGTGACTTGTCTACTTGGAGACATGGGATCCATCTGTGATGAACAAAATTTGAGATGAAGGCACGCATTCTGCATTACTCTGACCTTTTAGCAGACCTGTAAGAAATAAAAATGGGTATCTTAGCTAAATTTGAGATAGGAAACTACAACATGACTGCTTCTATCTTTTCCTTATTCACTAATCTCTTTTTTATTAGACTACTCCCCAACTGTGACTTGATTAAGGCTTTCTACACTACCCATTCACACTGCTAATGTTTCAACTTCAAATAGCAAAAAGCAAACATTTTCCACAGTTTCACTACTAAAAAAAGCAGACGGGGAAAAAAAAAAGAAGTGTCTACAACAAGAAAAAAGTGTACTTTCTGGTAACATAAGGTACAGTGAATAAGGTGGTTTTTCTGGGCCTCCTTTAAAAGGGAAGAACCATTATGCAATGCCTTTGAAGAAGCAAGTAATATGATCTTATAATTGGAAGAAATAGTGTGTAAAGCAAATACAAAGTACAGCCAATATCCTCCCAAGGCAACTTTGGCTAATATGCTGCATTGCACAAGAGCTAAATATAGATATTTCAGGATTCCCCCCCCCCCATTTAAACTCCTCATCTGGTACGTTAGTTAATGTTACATAAACATTTTAATATATGAAGTCAAACATGTGCTTTCACACTGGTGTTAATGAATTGTGATAATTAAAAGTGTCTAACTCAATAAAAATCTAAACTTTCATGGGTAAAATAGAAATGATCATCCATAGTCTTCAAATACAATCTGTTTGCAATTACCAAAATGAAATAATATATATTAGATTTTTATGGCTTTTAAATGACATTTTGCGCTTCCAAGGAAGTTCTTTTTTCACCCTTTCTCTAAGTTACTAAAAGCCTGAGGTCTATTAGTAACTGCAACCCCCCACTTTCAAGCTAATTAAAGTAGTAGAGGCTTGGAGGTTTAATTCCCCAGAGCTGAAGCTCAGTGTGAGAAAGGTAATTTGTCTGTCCAGAACAAAGATTAGGGAGCAGCCAGCAAGCATATTTAATAAATGAGCATCAAATATCTTCTACTATGGACACAGACAACACCAATTATGTAACTACAAGGGAATTGTTGAGTGATATGTAAACTAGGAGATTTTTAAGATCTTCTCAAAGAGATGTAATATAACTCATACTTTATTTAAAAGTACAGAAGCTGAAGGCAAGCATTTGTTATGAACATTGCCTACTGGTGGAAAATTTACGCTTTTAGTAGGTGGTAATACTGATGCAAATACGAAATTCTAGAGGAATACTACGAGTACCAAAAAATGCATAGAGAATTCTTGGCAATACAGCCCCTTCAAATGAAACAGCACACAGGACATCACAAACCAAGTTTGCACCCTTCAGGCAAGCAGTACCAAGTTTAGAGAAAACAGGGTTTTTTCCAAACTAAGTGGCAAGTAATGGGAAGTTCTAATATAATGTGTGAATTGCCTCAGGGAGGCAAAAGGTGGGAATGGCCAACATCAAGGCATTTGCCTCCTTAAAAAGAAGAGCAAGTTTTTAAACCAAGTTAGGCCACGGAACCCTTTCTGCCTGCACCAGTCACCTGTAAATTGTATTAAGACAATAGTAAGTTCATAACTCTCACCTTTACATGTGCAATGAAAATGTGTTTTAATGCTGGGAGTATGTCTCAATTTTTTTGGTTAAATAAAAAACCTGTGGATATTCTGCTATACCTATAATCTCTACTGCTAAAATAACTAGGAGGCTGAATTGATCTTTAATGCTTAATAAAAAGTATCTGTTACAGCCAATTCTGTTACAGTAGAAGAACATTTTTAATCAGTGGCCCTAAAACATGCAGCTTGCTGCAAAACATCTCTGATGTTATAACCTTTAGACTGTTAAAAAAGCAAAATACAAAGCATAACTCTTCTGGCACCTGCCCCTGTAGCTTCCAAAGTTCTAGAAACCTGACAAATCCATGAATTATCACTTGTCTCCTTAGCTATATTTTAGTTTTCTGGGGCTTGGTTGCTCTGCAATTTCCTATGAAAACCAATAGGAGAACTTTGACCAATTTATAGAGAGATTGTATTATTAAAAAAAAAAAAAAAAAAAAAGTCAAACGATAATTTCTCCCCTCAATCTTCCCGCTAATACCTGCTCATCTGCCTCAGCAGTGACTGCAGCATCGCCGTTAACAGGCGGTGACAGGAACTAATAAAAAGCCGTTCTCACTATCTTCTCTGCATTTAGCTCTGCAAGCCCAGTCCAGTTTCACTTCTCTTTTCCATGTTCTATGTTCCTCATCATGTCTACAGCTTTTATTGCAACTAAATCATTTTTATGTTTTGCTAAGGCATAGTAAGAAACTGATAAAACTAAATGACAATTTAGACACCTATTTGAAGTTACATTAAACTTTACATTCGTAGAAGACAAGTGGATAAACCACTCTCAGAATGGCAAACCTTTTACTGCAGTGTATAAAGATGAATGGTTTTACCTATATTTTGAAATGGGATACCTATAAATATTCATTTAACAGAATCACTGCTAGCTAGTCTATATTACAGATTTGTTTCATTAAAATTCACAACAGTATAAATCTATGAATCTTTAACTGTATTTGTACTTCCTTGAGAAGAGGCTGCACATTCTCCTCCAATCTTAATTATCTTTGTTCTGCCTAACTATATAGCATTTTTGTACTCAACTCTCTCATCACCTCGATTGACAAATTAAGTAAACAAAAAAGGTCCACGTTTCATTTTGATATAATTACATTCACTGTATAAGATTTGAAAGAATACTTAAAATTAATCAGTAAATTTATGCACAGAAAACAAAGCAAACGCAGATATTGAAATGTAGCAACATAACAAAAAAAATCGCGTAACTTAAAGAACAGTTTCTGTTTTCTCAGACATATTTTTCCACTGACTACAAGCACTACAAAAAATATACTGTATACTAAAGAATAGATCAGCCTAGCATTTGTCCTAGTTTTTTTTTAATCTTCCAAATTCCTACTTGCAGATAAATGTTATTTTTTGTGATCCTTACAGACATTAATGAAGTTCCTATTGTAAATCTATAAAGAATTACCAACTGAAGTGTGCACTTTTTGTTTCATTGCAATAACTCAGTGCTGTGTGATTGCCTGGGTTAATGATGAAAAAGTCAAATATACTATCAGAGCTGATGGAAAAATCTATCACCAATCTGAAATTAAAATTCATCTGTGGTCAATAAGATTTAATATCCATGCAAGTGGCGCTGTAAAGAGTAAATGAATCAATGTCATCAATACATAATCAGTATGAAATATGATGTGAATAAAATTATGTGCAAGAGTCATACATCCACTCTTTTCTGGACCAGGGTGGAATGAACAGTCTCTTAACTCAAGGTTGACAGTAATTGTTACAAATTAGGCACAGCAGTTATCAAAATGCACTCACTTGCATAGCTTTAGGACTTATTAAGGAGATTAAAATAGATCTAAAACTATCTAGTTTCAGAGTTACAAGACAACTGTTGATCAGAAATTTTTTTCTTCTTCTTCGCTATATGATTTGTACAGCCATTATTTACTCATTTAGCTAGAAACCAAGAGCTATCAACCACAGAGATATACAATCTCTAGTTGAGCTATTAGTGTTATGGAGCGGTAAGAAAATAGCATTTTGATTTTTAAATCTGAGTTATGACATACAAACCAGACAAGAAAATACTTCTGAAAGAGTATCCCAGCATGCTTCCTCAACTAAAATCTTAGTAATTAGGTAAAATACATTGGTTTAGTCCAGGAACCTTCTCTTTACAAGATATTTATTTCCACATTAAAGGATCTAATTTTCCTCCCTCAGAAACCTGCTCTCTTGTAGCCCTTAATTTCAAGATTATAAAATAAAATACTTCTCTTTCTTAGGAGTTCGTATTAATGTACGCTCTCCATTTCGCTTTGTACATAAGGAGTTCAACAGCTGTACAGGTGCACGTGCACAAACCAAAATAAATTGACTCACCCTATATGCCATATTTAAAAGGTTAGTATTTTCTCCCCACACCCTGTGCCTAAATAACTTAAGGCAAGTTCAGCTACTTAAAGGTCTCCTTGCAGGGGTGGGGAATGTCCACTATTAGAATGAAAAGAAATTGATCTTCATTTAGTTCTAAGAAAGCTTATTAGTAATTGTGGAGTATTCACCTTCTGGTCTGGCAGTAGTGGATTACTCTGAAGTGAATTCAAATGGCCATTGATGAGAGCTGTAGGTCTATCATGTTCACAAAATAAACTGCCATTGATGTAGTGAAACCGATCTCCGGGGACCAGGCGATTCCGGCAGGTAGAGCATGTAAAACACTGAAAAAGGAAAGAGACAGCAAGTGAAACTACAGCACAAATTAAGTATGCTGCAGGTTTGAAAATTACACTTCAGAGACTGCAAGTACAGTTGAGATATGGAGCTGCTTGGTTTCTAGTTCTCCAAATATGGCATTAGTCTTACCTGTTGGGACTATGCAGTACATAACTCAAGTATAGTTTTACCGATTATGAGGGAACAAAGCTAGACACTAAGGGAAGCTTTATAATAGATACTCATATTTCTAGTTATTGTTTTGCATTTCATTCATAAGCAGATGTTGATTTTACACTAAAGAAGCGGGGCAGTACTAATCAACTACTAAAAAAAATATACAGCAAAACCCCTCACCTTAAGATGATAGACGTTGCCTTGTGCCCTCATGACCAGCTCACTAGCAGGAATGGACTGTCCACAGGCACTGCAAGCACCACTGTTTCCAAATAACCTGAAACAGAGGTGATGATCGTGAATAATTTAATACACAGAAGACTCTCAGCATTTTTGCACATCACTGCCATGGTTTATTACACAACTATTTTAGACTTCTGACCCTCGTCTTCAAACCTGCTTACATGTCATAATATGAAAAAGTATATTTTTGTGTAACAACTGGTAGCTTCACCCTACCCTGGACGTGGTTACACAGGATTTAATCAGAAATATTGACTTACACCTCTAGAAACACAAACAATTCTGTACTACACACATTTTATCAGATTACTGGGTTCATCATAAAAAAAAAAGATACAATTCATGACTGGAGTTTAAATGCATTGTGTCCTTGAAATTATATGAAGAACTCTTTTGTACTTTAATCATATCTTGAGATATGAGTCATCAAAAGGGTTAAGAGGATTTGATTGTATATCTAAGAAGACATCATGCTCAGTGTATTGAAACTCCAGTAAACCTCCATCAGTGCAGAGTTTCCATTAGAAACTCTCTGCTATCCAGGTTGATATATAATGTGTATGGGTTAACCTTTTCAATCATGGTGTCAACACTTTAGATTTGCCTCTGCTCATCTCTTTCATCCTAACCTTCTCTCTCTCTTGATAATGAAATGCTTGCTCCAACTTCCCTCTATCTGCTCCTGAGTCCACAATTTAGATTACTTCATCTCTGCTAGCAACAAACTGAATGAAATTTCGATTTGAGCAGAAAGTAATTTACCGGGATCTGGACCCATTTGTCATCATATCTCTCTGGGTGTTTGCTGTATCACTGCAGTTTTCCTATGCAATCAAATGAGACCACAACATCTGCCATTGGGGGGGGCACACGCAGTGGGGGGAAGGGGGAATAGGCAGAAGAGTGGTGAAGAAAAATATATACATAATTCTTCAAATCCATTTAAAGGCACAACGCATCGATTCAAAACATAATACAATAATGATTATTGAGTTCTACTTTTACAGGCTGCGTTAGCTAGAATTAGAAAAACCTTTATTTGCTTTTGTGCGAGTCTCTAATAGACACAAATATTTATAAAGACTACCACAATTCATTTCACAGTAAAAAAGGAAACTGAACTAGCTGGCAGGGTCACAGACCCACTTTTCTGCACGATGGAAAACATAGTAATAGGATTTACAAATTAGTGTATTGGTGTCATAATAAATATTAATATTTGCATCTCCTTCCTGTCCAAATAAAGTCATAAAATTCTGTTTGTGTCAGCCTAGGACACACATTACAACAGAATACCCGTAATCTGAATGATTGCAGTGTGCCTCTGTATAAAAATAATTGCTTTGAATTTTCAGAATCTGAGCTTGCAGAGGAGGCTTGTCATGTTCAAACTACTAATTTGCTGTCGCCACTTTATTGAAAATAGCCTGTAAGTTGTTATTAAATGTATCGACTGAACGACAGAGAGAGTAGTAAAACTGCCCCTTAAGATGGCTTTTAATAGGAAGCTGAGAAACAAATTTTGCAGCAGAATCGATTTGAAGAGTTCAATCAAAACTCCATTTCAAAACTAATTAGTCTGAGATCCACGACACATTGACACGTTCTTGCAGAATCACAGTGGTTACAAAGGGAAAGCTGAACTAATACATTGTCAGGACCTCCCGCCAAAGGGACTAAACTGTCTGGAAACTAAAGGTCCTTTATTAGGGCATCTTCCAAACCCGGACCAGTTCTGAGTAGTTACATGATGTATCAAGGTTACTTCCAAAGCTTTGCAATATGCGTTTTTCTTCCTTCATTGTTACTGGTAACCAAGTTGGCACTAGAAAAAGTGCACTGGAAAGGCTTCAAGAGGAGGCAGCAAGACACTGTTACATTTCTAGAACAAAGATACAAAAATCTACCGTAAGAGGGTACCCAGGGCACTGCTGGCTAGGGCGGAGGAAGACAGGCGAAGATGGACAGACCATGTTAGTTGTCCAGAGAATCAGAGCCTGGTGAACGGTCTCCCACAACCCCCCTGCACAACTGCACCACCCAACTGCAAACACAGCTTTTGGAATGCTGATCTCATTGCACTACTACTCTTCATTAAGCATTCATTGTTATACTATTCTCTCTGAACTAAAAGTGGTTGAATGTCTGTGAATTCTAATAAACAGAGTCGAACTAATCCAGAGGCTTTCCGCACATCCTAGGTTTTCCCCAGGCATGTTTCCAGAACAATTCTGGTTGGGGAAGCCACTTCAGCTGAATATTCTGCTAAGTCCTAAAAATTACTTACAAACTCAGAACACCTTTCTACTTCTTTGTATTATTTAACAGGAAAATTAAGCTTATTTTTTCCTTCTCTTATGAATGGTTTTATTCTGTAACACCATTAACAGGAAAAAGGTTTTATCTTTTAAAAAATTGTTATTCCTCCTTACCACTAAAGTAAGTCTTCCACAGTAACTATTCTTTACTGAAAAAGTTGTTTCACATGGTTTCTGGGAGGCTGGAGAGCTAATTATCTAACCAGGGGGACTGTCCAGGACAGTATTTGATTTAAAAGGCTTGAGGCTTTAGGTGCTCAATTAAGTAGCTATCGGTCTCAGACTGGACTTTAATGGGCTCTTTTCTCTTTAACTGCAGCAATAGGTAGAGATACCCCAGGTCAGGCTAATTAAAGCCAGGGGACTCTTTAATTGTGATGACAGAATTGGTTTCAGTTTCCTCTTTGGGTCCTCAGTCCAAGAAGGTCATTAATATTTCAACATTTGGGCAATGCAATCAATCACAAACATCAAGAGGTTCCCTGTACGGACAAGGCAGCTCTTCTACACTTAGCAGCATTTTACTGAGCCACCTTAAATTAACTACTGTGTGGTTCCAACACAGCATTCCCCACACCCCCAAACACAGAAATGATCCTTGTTTTTTTGGTTGGTGGGGATTTTTTGGGTGGGTTTTTTTCAGAACTTTCTGTACAAGAGTGGGAATGAAGGCAGCAAGAAACCTTTTCAGCCCAGTTTCCCGTCTTGCTGTTCAAAATTCAGCATCAGCAGAAACACATCTCTAGCAACTTGTACTAGCAAAATAAGGTTCCAGTGCTTTCCAAAATCCTGGAGACAGATTTAAGCGCTCCGCTTCTTGCACGACATGGTGCACATTTGTGCCCATAAACATATATCCAAGCCCTAGCAAAGAGAAATGCACATCCAGACCTACTGATCCAGAAGCAATCGGTGTTTCTGTACATTCCCTGCATTTAATCTAAATTCTGCACCAGCTATAATAAATGTAACAAAGAAAGGCAACACAGAAATTACGCCTGAAGCCAAGTCCATTAAAGGTACTTCAGAATAACTAGAGACCAAGCACCTTAAAAGCACCAGAAGCTATTGATACTTAAAAGGGGGGCTGTGCATAATGGCAAGTGCTGCATTAGAGAAGGGGAAGAAAAAAAAAAAAAGGAGGAAAAAAAAAAAAACCAGCCAAATTACGCTTGGTTAATTCAGAGTAACAGATCTGCCCCCAAGTGAATTGGAGGCCTTGAATTAATTCTGTTATGACAAATCAAGATAAACGTTCCCCCTAAATTGCATGCGATTTAATTAATTTTTGAGATCCTGTTTTTTTTTTTTTTTTCCTAGCTAATAGTTCACATGCTCCTGTGCTGTCATTGTGCTTGAGTGGGCAGACTTCAAAGTGATATTAAATAACCAACTATTAGATTTACCTAGCACGTCCTATTGGAAAAGTGCCATTTAATTACCTAGCCTGTTCAATTAAAGGGACAGCATTCCCTGAATATAGCAGCTTGCCGCTGATTACCAGGGAAATGAACTGGCTGCCTGGCGGCCCCCTCCCCTCCCCTGCGCGGCCCTCGGTGCGGCTCGGCCGGGCCCGGCCGCCCCCGCCCCCGGGGCTGCGCCCCCGCCGCGCTGCGCGGAGCGGGCAACCGGGGAGGGGCGCCGGGCGCTGCCCCTTTAAGAGGCGCCCGGGCAGCCTCCCCCTCTCCCCCTTCCCCACCACTCCCTGCTCTCTCTTAGAGGCCAATTTTGTTAATTAAATGTTTTGTTTGCGACGCGGCTCTCATTCATTTCGGACACGTCATTCCGAGCAGATCTAAGCCAGGGACCAGATCTCATTAGATAAAACCTATCAGAACTAAGAGAAAATGGAGGAGACACTAATTAAAGGTTTTAATTGTGCGGATTCGCTGCCACGCTGCTGCTTTATCTGGCATCTTAAGGTTGGGAGGGCTGCACTCCGCTCCCCTCCCTGAGCGCGCTGCTTGCCGTGAGGGAGGGGAACGGACCGGGGTTTTCGCCTCCCTCTCTTTTCCCAGGAACCTTGGCCTTCAATGAAAGCTGCTGCTGTAGCTGTACGGCCAATTTGTGTTCGGGTTTTGGGAGCTGGGGCGGGGGGAGAAGGGGAGGGAGGAGCAGAGAAGGAGGGAAAGGGGAGTGTTGTGTTGTTTAAACAACAACAAAAACCCCCACATACAGCTTCAGACGGTTAAAAAGCTCATTAATAAATGGCCCCGTGTCTTGGCCCGAAGGAGTCAAGTCCCTTTCACCTGGCGCCTGCTGGGCCGATCAATCCTCTTTCTCATTTTGTCAATCGTGTCCAGTGAGCCCCACATCTCCAACTGAGAACTGTGCCCATGGCTCTTGCCTGGGGAAAAGAATGTGCCACTGCAAAAGCCCTACGGAAAACTAAATGGGGAAAGGATGACAGAAGGAAAACAGAGGCTCGCTGTCAGATGGGTGGCACTGCCTTCACACCTGAAGGCAAATGTCAAACGAGGAAAGGTTGAGGGCCTCGCTCATGCCAGCGTGACCCAGGAGAAAGCCTGCGAAGTCCGTTTCCAGCGAGAAAACGCCAAGTTAACTCAGCCTTGGCAGGACCAGACCATCCTACCCCACCTTGAGTGTACAGTGTCCAGTTCAAGTTTCAGCAAGCATTTGTCAGAGTTATTTTTGCAAGTCAAATTACACAGATCTAAAGAGAAGTCAGGCAATAGGACAAGGAGATCAATTCAAACCCCTCATCTGATAAAGCATCTTATTCATAATCGCCTACATTAAAATAAACGAGTATTAATTTCTGGCAACACAAGACCAGAGGACTGCGATAAGCTTGCCTGAACTTGCCTCTGGGATACACTGGACGCATCTTCTCTTTTTAATTAGTAGCAATCAGACATGAGGGTTTGTTTGATGGTGCTGGTCGAGTGATGAATCTGTACTATTCAGTGCATCTTAACAGTAGTGTCAATTTTTCCACTTCAAACGAGACTCTTTCCCTAACAGTGTTCTGCTCTATTTAATTACAGTTCTGCCAGGCTTAGGCTTGTTGCTTAGGATGATGACCAAAAAGCACCATTAACCCCCCATCACATGCTGATTTTTTAGGATTTCTCTCTAAAAATACCCCCAAAACTAGTGAAGCTTAGGCTTCGATTCCTCAGAGATACAAAGGGACGTGTTTCATCTACCTAACTTCCCAAAGCCACAGCCATGTACCAGGTCAGAGACTGCACTATCAGAGTAACCAAGTCTTAACTCTGTCCTCTTAGACTAAGGAGGTCTCTGTGCATATGTACATTCAGCACAGTCCACATCTTCTCAAACACAAGTCAAGTTTTACAACATAAGCAAACTTGCAACATTTGATGGCTGGTTTTAGTAAGGTTTTTTAAGTTTTTTTTTTTTTTCAGAAAGGAAAAAAAAAAAGTGGAACTTTTTGGTCAAAAGGGAGAAGGGAAATCCTGGGTGTTATAACTCTTGACATTTACTGTAAATGAGAAGCCAGAAGCATTTAAACAGAACATAATTTGTTTTAACTAAGCATTTCTGTGATGCCAGGAAGGTATGGGGCTTTCTTGTTGTTTTTTTTAATTACTGAATGTTGAAACAGAACACCTCCTTGAAGCATTCATGTGCATCAGTCTATCAAACCATTTACTCAAATTAAATGTGTAATCCTTCAAAATGCCTCCTTTTAAATTAATGAGTTTAAGTAGCTTGAGTTCACCTGAAAAGATCGTACAGGCACCTGACCTCATGAATTCTTTCTATTAATTATATTGGAAACTTGTTGGAAGGGATACTCTGCATAATCTTACTGTACCCCAACAGATGTGAGATTAGTGAGGCTTAGTTCCCCCTACCCAAATCTGTGGCATTTAAAGCAAACAGCTTCAAAAGAGAAAGAGATAAGAAATAAAGGGCACAAGCATATACCTCCTCTCCTATCTCCTGCATTTTCTATACTGAAAGAGAAATGCCAGTTCAAAGCTTCTGTGTAACAATGCGAAGACAAACATCATACCACTGGTTTTTGCTATAAGTAGAATCGGTGGCCCTCCAACTGACGGTTAATCAGCTCTTTCACAAGGAGAACAGAGAATGAGTCATTCTGTTTCCACTCAAAGGAGTTTAAAGGTGCTTATGTAAATATCATAATTAATCAGATACTAAAGGCAGGCATTTCATTATTTAGCACCTCTGCCACAGCCTTATTTAAGCCCTACGATTTTAACATTTACCGTTCAGATATGCACACTTCTCCTTCAACACTACAACAAAGCAGATTAATTTAGCTTCTCTGATTGCTGTTTATTTTTAGTTAGGACTTGTTTTGTGCTGACAAACCACTTTAAAGTTACAGTCGTCGTTCCGCCTCCCACCCCCCGCAACTCTTCCCTCCACTTGGCAGTAGCAACTACGCCCTGGGCTAGGCGCTAACATCCGCACCCGCACGTCTCCTCGTTCCTAATGAAGGAGCGATCCTGAGCCAGCCCACCCCTCTGCCCCGCGGACACCCACCTCGAAAAATAAAGGTGTGGGGGAAGGAAAAATGGAGAAAAAGGCAGGAAGAAAGGGGGGAAAGTGGCCCTCGGCAGCCCGGCAGTCGCCTCACCTGATGTAGTCGTTTCTGCAGAGGATCATCCCGCTCTTGGTGTAGCAGGAGGTGCCGATGTCCCCCAGCTGGGCCTGGCAGCAGGAGCACTTGAGGCAGCGGCTGTGCCAGTAGCTGTCCATGGCGTAGAGCAGGAAGCGGTCGGCGATCTTCCCCCCGCAGCCGGCGCACCTCTTCCAGGAGAGGGAGCCCGCCGTGACCGGGGGCGGCTGCGCGCTGCCGCCGGGGTTCACCATGGCCTGCGCGGAGAGAGGGGCGGGGGCGGTCAGGGCCGGCACGGCACCGGCCGGAGCGGCGGGGTCGGAGCCGCTGCGGGCCCTGCGGGGGCAGCGCCGGGCCGGGCGCGGCCGCGCAGCTGGAGGGGATCGGGGGGCAGAGCGAGCGCGCCCCGCCGCCCCCCCGCTCCGGGCTTGTGCAGCTGCAGCTCACAAGTCAGGAACAGTCCCAGGGTTTGTTTTGCTTATGAAAAAAAAAAAAAAAGAAAGTGTGTGAAGAGTGGGGGGAGAAAGAAAAAAGTTGTGAAACTGGTTTTTCAGTCTAGCAGAGGCTCCGCAGGCTCAGGGCGGTAACGAGGGGCTCGGGACCGGCCCTCCAGACCTCGAGATTTTATTTTTTTGTAGTTTTATTTCGGAGACCTAAAAACACCCAGAGAAAACACTGCAGACTGAGGAGACTGGCCAGAATAATAGATCACTGAACTTTAGGACGCCTGTTAACTTCCTACACAAACATACTCAACTTTTGTCTCGCTAATCTGCCCTTGATCAGCAGTTTAAATGCTAAAGCTTTGTTAAAAAAAAAAAAAAATTACCGACCCTAGGAAAGCAGCAGAGTAATGAAGTGCACCACTCTGGCTGCGGTTACTCTGGCCGCCCCCGAAACTGCTACAAAGGGCATTTTTCACTTTCTAATAAATGCTTTATGCAAGCAGGACAACCGAGAGATAATATAGGAATCAATTCATAAAGCTTACTCTAAACCGATTAATTTGTTGCCTTCAATCCAGAGTCCAATAAACTCCCGGTGTTCCTCTAGTCACTTATACTATAAAAAGATCAAGTTATTTACTGCCAATTAAGCAGCATGTTTTGTCTTTGTCCTTTGTAAGCCGTATGTGCTCATGCCGAGGCATCTGGCTATCTGCTAAGGACCGTCAGACTGATACGTCCAGAGCAGAGAGGACGAACTTTTCCTGCCACTGGCCCAACTCGGCTGCAGGAGGAGAACTGAGGCCGATTTAAACACACATTTCCTCAGAAAGAGTACCTGGAGGTATGTCCAGTGACCGCACAATAAACCAGGAGAACTGCACCAATTAAGCTGTAACAAAAACCCCGAGACTTTGGAAAGAAAACCACTCTAAAAGCCATTAGCATTGCATTTATCCGAACGCATCGTATACCTTTATGTAAATTGATTTCTGATGCATTTGTTCAAGGAATTGCCTTTTGTTACAGTTTCCAGCTACAGCCTAAATGAATCTGCATTTCCTGCTCCAAGTCTTTAAACCGTTTCCCTACGCTTTAAATCACTTCGGATATCTTAAAAGAAAGAAAAAGGCTCCATGCCACCACCTTAGCCCGTCTTTGTCGAAGGCAAATATGTATAAATATAAAATGGGAAACGTTACACTGAGAAAACCATCCAGTAACCCCATTAAGCTAAAGCTCTTAAGGACAAGCAATACCTTAATGCTGATTAAATCTAAAAAGATGAATCAAGAGGACTGACCAGAAAGTGACTCCCTTGATAACTAAGGACGGGCCCTCATCAAGTTTCATTTAGAGTTGAGGGGGGGAAGCTTTTAACTTAAATAGGCTTACTCTAGTAATTACACAGCCAAGCAATTTAGGTCCTGGGATAGGAGTCAGTGAAATAGAAAGCAGAGGTGGAAGCTAGAGGCAAAATACCCCCCCCCCCTTTTAACAGCGTCTCTGGTGCTTTTTTAATGGAGACCAAGGGAGGGACAAGCGGAGAGCTGGCAATTTGTAGTACAAAAATGGATGCTTAATTCATGTCTTGGTTTTAATTAGGTGATTCACCGAATTTCTCCTGGATTGAAACAAAAGACCGTGTGGGGGGCAGGAAGGGAACCGGAGAGGAGAGAAATAGAGAGCTCACTTTGATCTTTTCTGCCACTGTTTCAGAACAGTGTTTACTACGGGCGAAGCGGGTGTCCCAGCGCCCAACCCCCCCACCTCCCTGTCCCCTCCATTCACAGCCGAGGCAAGCAGAGCCCTTTCCCGGCTGTAGCTGGGAAGGGGGGTAAGGAAAGGCGCTCCAGCGGCCGCCGTCGCCAGGCTTTGTACGAGGGGCCGCGACAATGCCCGGGGCGTCCCGCTCCGCGCCCCCCCGCCCGGCGGGCACCGTGCACACGAACGATGGGAAACACGGGGGAGCGATGGGAAACACGGCACTTCTTACCTGCTTCCCCTCTATATTGCAAAAGGCCGGGGAGCGCCGCTCGGGGTGCCTGAAGAGGTCTCCTTGCAAAGAAACAAGCACAGCTCTCGCCCTCTCGCCGGCTGTCGGGAGCGCTGGAGAGAGCCCCCCGCCCGGCAAGGGGCAGCCCAGGCTGGAAAAATATAGATATTGCTATGAGAGGCGTCTGCCCAGGTCCTTCCTCCCGCTCCCGCTTCCCGGGAGGGGAGCTGCAGAGCTCGGTCCCCGCCGCTGAGCCGCACACGCAGGGCGCCGCCGCCGCTCGCTGCTGCAATCGCCGGGCAAGTTTGGCAATGTGGCTTCACTTTGTGCCTCTTCCCCCCCCCGCCCCCCCACCTCCGCCCCCTCTCCGGGCTGCGGCGGCTCCCGAGCCTCCCGCGGCGCGGAGCCGGCCGGCCGCGGCCCGCCGGGGCGTCTCAGCGGAGCGGGCGGGAGCCGGCGAGTTTGAGCGGAGCTGGGCGCGGAGCTGCTGCCGGGATCCGGCGGCGGCGGCGCTGGCGGAGGGCGAGGGGCGGCCCCTCTGCCCGTCTGAGCGTGAGGGTGCGGGTGCGAGCGTGCCCGTGTGAGTGCGTGTGTGCCCGCACGGTGCGCGTGTGCCCGCTGCCCTCACACATGTGTTACTGACAGAGCAGAATCCCAACTACACTCCGGCTCGGCGCCCCCGTCAGCCCGCCGCAGCCAATCCGCCCCCGGCTTGTTCAGGCGGAATAATAAAACCTGCCAATCGCCGGGAAGACAAAGGAATGAGTGAAAGGGGAGGGAAAAAAAAAAAAAAAAAAAAAAAAAAAAGAGGAGAGGAAGGGAGGGGGCGAGGAGGAGGAGGGGAATGGAGAGGAAGGAGGGAGTCAGGTGGGCAGCTCTGGCCGCGCCGCCCGGGCACTGAGCGAAGGCGCGTGGCCGTGAGGGCGCCGTCCGCCCCGCCCCGCTGCCCTCCCGGCCACCAGTTGAGAAACTTGGCGGCGAGAGGCCGTCCCGGCTGTCCCCGAGGGCAGGCCCGCTCCGCGCGGGCGGTGGCGTCCCTCGGAGCCCTTGCCGGGCGCTGGGCGCTTCCCTCGCTGCCGCGGCCCCGCCGGGCCGGGGGGAGGCGCCGAGGGGAGGCGCGGCCGCGGCAGCCGCTCCTCGCCGCCTTCGTGGCGCCCCCCGCTGCCCGCACCCCGTCCTGGGGTGCCGCGCCAGGGCTGGGAGAGGTCGCCGGAGCCGTGTCCGGCTCGCCCCGGGGGCGGAGGGGCCGTGCCGAGCCGCAGGCTGTCACACGTTTCCCCGCTCGAGCCGAGGGAGCTGAGCTGCGGGACCCAGGCGGACACGGCCCGCTGGGGCCGCCCCTGTGGAGGTTTCGGAGGGTTAAGCAGCCGCAGTTGGCAGGACGGCTCATCAGCAGGGAAGGCAACAGCCCAGGGAGAAGCCTGGGGCTGACGGCAAGTCGGAACAAGTAATGGTCGGTGGGGACACTCAAAACCGTGAAAGAAACATCACACATTAAACGCACGTCTGTGAGGCCTAAGCGCAGCACACAGGATAGAGCACCGAATCGCTGGAGCAGACCCCAGGAATGTGTACCCCCGTGCGGGTGCTGTCCCCCCGCGGCCGGCGCTGCCCGGCACAGGGAACACACGCGCCCCTGTCACCCCGCGCACGCGGCCGCGCTCCGCCCGGGGCGGCGCAGCCCCATCGGTGGCACATTCCCCGGATCTGTGAAAGGACAGAAAAACTTCATAACAGGAGTTTCTCGATTCCAGAGCGCTGACGTCAGCAGCAGCCAATGCAGCGCTGGCCGGACGGCAGCAGCGCCCGGGCCGCTCGAAGTGCGGCACAGCCAGCGCTGCCCCGCGGGGAGGGCAGGGCAGAGCAGGGCCGGGCAGGGCAGGGCTGGGCTGGGCGGCCTCGCCGCCCGCGGGCACGTTCGTCGCCGTGTCAGGCAAATCCGTGGTGATGGCAGCGGGACTGAGCTACGAACCCCGTGCGTCCACCCGATGTCCGAGGCAACAAAGTGTTTTAAACCTGCTCCTGCCGGCGGCTGACGCAGACGCGGTGCCCCGCACAGGTACGCGGAACTCTTCCCGGGAGCACTTCCTAAAGAGTAAGCGTCCCGGCACAGGAATGCAGCCCGCCCGCTGACAGCCAGGGTGCGCCCGGCCCGGGAGTCGCAGCCCAGGTGTGCCTTAACCACATCGCCACCTGTGGGCTTCCCGCATCCCTGCAGCCCGGCCTGCCCGGCCACCGAGCCGTGAGCCCAGAAACCATCTGAAACGGAAAGAAAAACTGTCTGCCTCGGAAAAATTAATTTGGGAAGACGTAGGGTAGTGTAGATACGGTTTGCTTCTAAATATATAGGAAATAAAATATTGAAATCTGAATGACACCCCAGGAATTATTTAAATGCAGGAGAAAAGTCTATTTCTGTCTTTCTCCCTAGACTGGGATATGTTCAGAGTCTGCATAAAGTGGACTGGGAGCTCATGGAAAGCTTCCAGAGGGAAAGAAGGGAGAGGACCAGTGTTGTGGTTAAAAATCATTTTTAGCATAGGCCTATGAAATATATCATCTGGATGTAATCTCCATGTACATATTACATTTAAACATACTCAGCAGTTTTAGATTTTTTATGTAGGATCTGGTACAATTTAAAATATATAAAGTAATAAGGCATACTACAGATAATCAACAATCACTGATATTTTAGCTCTCTGACAGCTAAGAGCACAAGAATAGAGCAAATGCCAAGCTAAAATAAAATCTAAGTTGTCTAATTATCTAAGCCTGTAATGGCTAGAAGCTACCAAATTCAGACTCTGGGAGAGCCATTAGGACCTCTGCTTATTGGAAAAGATACTCTACCAAGAAACTCTGCCATAGGCACTAAAATGTTTACTAGTCTTAAAACTGATAGTGATATAAAAAATGGGAATTACCTTCTCAAGCAGCAGAGTTTTAAATGGCTTAATGATATCTTCCAAATAGCATTACAATGTTCATATCTTTTTATGAAATCTGATCATCACTAATTTTTGTGATTAATTTTAACAGAGGAAACCTTAACTGAGAACATTTTGCAGAGCAATATTTTTCTAATTTTTCTTTTGTGCAGCATCTGCTGTTGCTGTGCTGTCATCTTCGTTATGTTTTTCATTGTCTATGTGCCATAATGTAATTAGTTAGTTCAACATCATCTGTGCTATTAGATGAGATGTTTCTATGGTAAGTTACCATAGTTCTGTGTAATTGGTAGATTTCAGCAGTAGGCAAGAATGTATCCATCAACTTTAGGTCGATTTGAGTCCACAAGATTTAAATTCACTTGGCATACATTACCCTAGAAGACTGTTAATTTTGGCTGAATGGATAAAAAACACAATGCAGAAGAAAATCTGGCTGCTTGTATCGCGGTACCGTTGGAGTCAGGGAAAGGAAAGCATAAAATTGCTGGCTTAGTAGTTGCAATCTGAATGTCTGGAAAATGTTACAGCCTGTGATCCAAATCATTCTTAAACCTAGACGTGCCCCTAAGATAGCAGGTAGTCCAGAATTCATCAGGGTTATCTCTCTGTTCATGAAAGGAGTCTTGGTTCTCTCCCTAAATACTGCATTCCCATGGGACCTCTAGGTTCTCTCCCTGCATACCTATGGGACTCTTCCTTTTCTCATTAGAGAGAAATGTTGAGGCTGCTGCTTTATCTTCCATGTGGCACTTTGCTAATCCACGTGCCTTGCAAGCTACACCTTTTGAACAAACTTTTAAAACAAACTTTCTGACCCCAGTCTCTCCAGAAGAAGTGATGAAAAATCAACAGCCATTTCTTACTTTAAAGCAATGCATATTTTTACTCAACATAAAATCATCCAGTTTAGGCCTCAAACAATTTAAAAATGTGTCTGGATTAAGTATTTAAGTTGGATATCTAATGATACAGCAGAGTCATATCCTGCCAGAAGCTGGGAAGAATCCTGGATGGCTTAGAGCATTCTTTTCTAAGCAGTAGACAGTACTATTTGCCCAAAACAGTAAGGTAAGTCACTTTTAGAAATCTGTGCATAGATTTGACTTGCTTATAAATACATGAGTAACTTTATTCACAGTAACACAGAACCATGGGAGGTATGCATAGTTTGCTTAGGTAAGGGCTTGCAAGACCGTTTTATCCATAACTTAGGGCAGGAGCCAAATAAGATAAGTGTCAGTAATTATATATATTCATATTAACGATAAAGTCCACTTTTGGAAGAGCTAAGGCTATATTTGTAATGACCTCATATGGCTAAAATTACATTCACTGATTTGTCCTGTTCACATTCCTGTTGGGAGAATATGACCACAAGCCATCAGTTGGTAGCAGGAAGTCCTGCAACTGAGTTCTGCAACTAAATCAAAGATATCAGAGTTTGTAATTCTGTGTCTTTTTTTTTTAAATTGAGAATCTCTAGAGGCCTGTAGGAATATGCATATGTGATAATAAGTTGACTACATAAAAAAATTTTAAAATCGGAAATGTTATATCAATTTTGAAAGAGGGCTTTACATTCCACAATCTAATAAAACAAGACATTTTTTTAAGCAAATAAGTTAAAATTAATTTGATACTCTTAAACATGTACTGACAGTTGATTTTTGTGATGACATATCTGTAGAGTGATATTTTGTCACAAATACAAATATTTTTATGATTCATATGTCTCCATCTTTAACAAGGAAAAAAACCCCTTTGACTTACAAATATAAACTCACGTAGAACTTACCCTTTAAGGTAAAAAATGTTTATTCACAGATACTTTTATAGAACTGGCATTAATATGTTGCCTCTATTCATTAATCACTTCAACGAATGGCCAGATTAGAGGATGGGACAGCACAATTTGGTTGTCAGAAGGCCCAAATTGTAGATAAAAGTAGCTATGGAGCTACTTTAAATTTACCATACAAAAAAGAACCACTGGAAGGGAATTAAAAAAATAAAAATTGCCTCAATCAACTGACAAAAATGTGCTTACCTAATGCAGAGGTACATATTTATATCACTAGCATTTATGCATTCTGTTACAATGAAAAATGAAAACTTATCTCAAGCCTATACTATTTAATTAATTAGCCAAGTGACCTTAAATATGCAGAAGAAATTAGTATTAGGCATGAGTGAATAAACAGCATGTTTCATATTTTTTGATGATGTTGTCCACACAAAAGATATTTATAATTGCATTGAAGTTATTTTCAAAGATGTGTGTCCAGTAGCAAATCATGTGTCATTAGACTATCTGTATGAGTGTATCCAGGAAATGAGTTATTTACATGTAACTCCTCGCCATGGAGGAGTACATCTGATATCCTTGTGAAGTTCCCATAACCTCTGAATGATGTAATTTACAGAAAGGTCCACGACCAGTGTTTTCCACCTATTTTCCACCTATCCACAGAGAAGACCCTTCTGATACCTGGCTTGGGCTATAGTAAACCAGTGGAGGAACATTTGCTCGGGCTGTTTTCTCTGTAGGCCTTGAGGGGATGTTCACAACCTAGAATTTCGTGGGGTTTTGCTCTATGATACATCATTGATGGGAAGGCACAGTTTTAGCTAATACGTCTAAATGTTTGGAGTGACTCTTTCTGATGGAAATTTGACATTGGCCTTTGTTTCAAAAGGCTGAGGGAAAGCAAGGTACGGACTGAGAACTGAAACGCACACATAACAGAGATCCTCTTGTTATAAGTTGTCTTTTCAATTTAAGGGCTACAAGCACAGTATAAGAAAATGGAGGATTACAAAAATAAAGAGGAAGAGCAGCCTGGTGACTTGCATCTGGCAGAAATGCCTCTATCGTATTTGATTTGAAATTTACATAGATGCAGTGGTTATGACACAACTGTCACTTTAAGTTCACTTAACTGGACATGAAACAATAATGACAAACAATCAGAATGACAGTTCTCCTTCTATTCTGCAGTGAGGTTCTTCATATCTCAATTCTGCAACAATCCTTCTGTTCACTCCGCCAGACAAATGTGCTTCTGTTATTATGATTTCTCTGTTTGACTCGATGCAGCTTTGCTGAATGTAAGAAGGAGAGTTTCTAAGCTTTCTATTAATTTTTTCAGCTCTACCATTTATCAAAGACAGACGTTTTCCGTAACAGTTTTTAACATTAACTCTTTAATAGTTATTTGAGGATGTAATTCATTATTTGAAAACACTGTATTGCGTAAGAATATTACATTATTTTTCATACAAAAATATAGCTCTCTGCTCTTCTTAAGTTGTTTTTCAAAACTGGAGCGACTCCTGTACTCCATGACCATAACTCTTTTTATCATTCTACTATGATTCAGTAGCTTTTGCTGTCTTATAAACAGTCTTACAATTAAGAGCTAATGTTAATGGAATAGATTGTTGTCATAGGATAATGGTTTCCTGCTGCTAGATAAATGCTGTGGCAATGCTAGGACATTTATTGAAAGTAATAGTGAAGACAAAGCTAAGAGATTTATTTTTAAAGCAGGTGCCACAGATCCAGTGACACCATTCTGTTACAATTGTTTTATTTCTATTTCACTACAAAGCTGATGAAGATGGAAGCATTTTGCCTGATGTATGCAAGTGCAGTAAAGTGGCAGTGGCTTATTTCACTGTAACTGAATAAGCTGCATTGCACTTGGCTCGGGAACAGATTTATTGTGTGGCTCACCCAATCAGAAAACAGTTTATCCATTAACTATGGCTTTAAAATATGTTACATTTCCATGAACAAGATGGGGCTTGATGCTTTCTTTCACGGAAACAGTTAGGCAGAGTTCACAGAAAAGGAGAAAAGTGGGGCCCTATGGTGCTTGCTCCACCAATCTGTTCCAGAAGCCCCACTTTCCCTCTGTGCCACAGAGACAGCAGGCTGGGGAGAGTGAACCTGCATGTTCTCCTCCTCCTAAATCAATGGTTCCTTGTCTCCCTTCTGCATTGGAGGAGGGTGTTGCCTCAGCATTAGCAGAGCAGAAATGGCAGCGTTATTCTTACCAGTGGTGCTGCGCAGAGGGTGGAAAGATTTGTCTAGAATCTTGACTTTTTGGAAAGTGTGCCTTCTTTTCCATGACTTTTAAAATTGCTCACCCCTAAATCCTCCAATGAAGAACTGTGAAAAGCAGAGCCTATAGAACTTCATAGGCTCTCTATCTACTCTTGTAGAATTGCAGAAAAACACTTTGATTACCCCAAATATACAACTCCTACAAAATTGGAGTCAATTGTCAGGAAGTACATGGGATCTATTCCATTTAACAAGCTTTCTCTGGACAGATATGCCCTCTTTGCCTGACTTAGGCTTCAAAATATCCTTTGTCTTTTCTTTTGAGCTGTGGAGCAGCTATTCCAAGTGGCAATGCTGTAACTATGACAGCTTGAGGATATTCCACAAGTAATAAAGAACATGATCCCTTCCCACAAACTCTGATCATTCCAAAGCATCTTTAAAGTTATGTTGTAAAACAGTGTAATGACTTTATATAAGTCTCTGCTAGGATTTCCTTAAGAAACAAACTAATTTTATTATTAAGGCCCATGGACCTTGACATCAAACCAGCAATTCACTGCTCCAAGGACTTACTCTCTGTAGCTGCTCACACCATAGCTCTGAATTAACTTCTAAGACCAGAGCTTGAAGACAGTAAACAACTTTAACCTTTTCTTGACCCCAGACACATCTCTCAAACAGGAGTTCAGAAAATGCATAAATTTCACTTTAACCCATGTGCAGACATTCTGAGAACTAATTCATTCTTCATTTTCTGAGTTTTAAGAAAATTTTTATACTAATAAATGGGCAAGTGTTACAGCACTTGCTCCAAAGAGCTATCAGATAAGGTTAGTCCTCTGCTGAGTGTAGCTCCTTATGAAAGGCGAGCCCCAGAGAGAACATCGTAGAGAAAAGCAGAAATGGGAGAGACCTGTAATCCTGACAGAATGAATCCTGGCAGCCGTGAGGTCTGTTGGGTCATCTGAAGAGCACACTCCAGCAAATACATATTCTTCCAACTAAATCTCTGCAGCAGCAGCTGTGTATCAGACCTCAGACCTCATCTTCTAATGCTTGTGCCTTCCTGTATCAATCTCCTATCGGAAGTTTAGGATTCACAGGAACAATCTAGGAGATGGAGAATATCTGCATCTTTAAAACACTGGAGTCACTTACCCACGTATCTTTAAGGATGTGACCGTAAATACTGTATAGTCCTGTGATTTTATCAAAATATTTGGTGTACCAAAGTCCCAATTCTGGAAATGGTCTAAATACAAACCTGCTTTAAACCTTTTTAATAGAAATTTTGAGTCTTTCTGGTTAGGTAAAAACATTAATTCTTAAAGATCAATCAGAGACAAATAAAGATAATTTGTTCCCATTTAGTATTTTATTTTACAAATGATTCCTCATTTGATCTAATAAATAGTGAGGAGTCATGACTTCCAAATTTTTGGGATTGCCAGTACAGTAACCAAATGTCCTATCACCACATATTGAATCTGCCCCAGGAATCCTCCTCACTTCAAGGAATTATTAAACCTGTTTTTTCAATAGGTTTCTCCACATCACACAGGACTGCACATAATCAATATTTCACTTCCATACAACGGGTTGCCCCCTCCGGAGGGCCAGAATTCCCTATGGCAGTTATCCTATCTTAAAGCAAATCCCCAGCCTCTTGCAGCTGTCTTGACTAAGGCGGCTGTGTATACCCTGCCTGGATCTGGCCCAGATGCTTTATTTCTATTGCATGAGATGATTAATTATGTGGTTTTTCTTCTGTTTGTCTGATAGACGCTGAGGTAAGAGAGTGATGGTTGCTTAGTGCACTATTATTAAAAAGCTGCTTTTGATAGCCCTGAACAGGCTTGAGTTGTGTGCTACAGCTAATCATAAAGCTGCTTGCTTGGAAATGTAATGCTTGTTAATACTATACTGTACTTTTATAAGTAAACGAATTTTTGATTGGCTAGAGTTTAACTATAATCAGTAATTAAGGGTCAGCCATCCAGTAAACTCATTAGTTTACACCAATTACATTTGGTATAGTAACTAATGATTTCAGGGATCAAGCCATTTATTTCTAAGCTTTCAAAGTATAATTATTGTGTAAATCAGATAGAGTGTAAATCTTTTCCATACGTTTTGGTTGGTAATTGAGAAATAAAATGGTTTCCAAATGTATTCTCTGTCCAGTTTTTGTTCTGCAGTAGATCTCTCTGGGGACTCTTTAAAGTATATGGAAAAGGTGATGTCAACAGAAGTGTACGCTGGGCAAACTGAGACAGGATTAATTAATAGAGATGAAAGAGAAAAGCCAGCCCCTTGCAAATCATGGTCCAGGCCTCAACTCGGACATCACACCTTAAATGACAGTTTACAATCTTAAGCATGAGTCACACAGATTGACAAGTATTCAAAATAGGAGAGAATTGAAAATCCTTTCTGTTTAATGTATAAAGGCCTTTCCAATATGCAGTCTTTAAGGTGGTGTAATCTCTGGAGTCTTTTGCTTTGAAGTTTAATATGTAGCTCTTCACATCCACATAACATTTTCAACACATTAAACAAATTAGTCTCTGGTTACAGAAGTTTTTAGACATTTACAAGTTGCCGTTTAACTAAATTTAATATGTGCCAGCGAAGTTGCTCATACACTTGTTCATTTAGAAAAATGCACTTTTGGAATGATTAATAAATAAACCAGCCTTTCCTATGCCTTCAACTTTGGTGTTTATTTGAAAGCAATCTACTTTAAAAAGACATTAATATCCCTAGAATTATTATTAGAATAATTGCTTTTACTCTTCTTGGAACACACATTTTTTCTCATTTCCCTTCAGCACAGACAGCTTTTGACTCAGATATAAACTTCTTATTATTATTCCCCACTCCCCACCCCAAAAATGAAGAATAGGAATTATACAGTTTTCACTAAGGAATAATTAATTTGTCTCAAGTATTAGAACAGAGAATTGTAGAATGACTTTGAATGGTAGTCTCTAAGGAATAGCATTGTTTGTTCTCTTCGGTCTTTAATGAGCTTTAGTAAATGGCCAGGAAAAATTACCTTCTTTCTGTAATATGAGAGAAGGGAAGAATGAAGGAAGCCATAGAATCCCTGGGAGAAAGACGAGCAGACACACACACACACACACACACACACACAGCCCCCTGTACCACATTGCTTCCAATGGTTAGTTCTCCTTTGGAACTGAGCACTAGAGTTCGAGTTTTCCATTACAGTTAGAATAACGTCCCTAACATTTTTGTAGGAGAAGAAATTCCTGGATGTCTCCCACACACTGACAGTGTCTGGCTTATGTTGGGGGACAACTGCCTATAGCTGAGCTCTGGAAGTCATTCTGGCTTCCTCTGCTTTGGCATTGACTTTGTCTTTTAAGATTTCTTAGTCTATTTTTGTTGCATTTCCACCTTTAAAAGCAATTTCCCTTATAGTGCCCCAGCTTGCTGCCCTGTCTTTTAACAGACTTCTTTTCCTTCCACCACATACTTGCTGCCACTGCTTTCCAAAATGAAAACTGATGCACCAGTGGCAGGTGCTTGCTTCAGCTATGACTACAAACCCGTCACCATGGATAACAGAATACACTTCAGGAACACCTTTTCCATCCTTTCCCCCCCCGACCCCAGCCTCCACACATGTCCTCACTTCCTAGTCCCATATCAAGTCAGTGTTGCTGAGGCAGCTGCCATTGCTGCTCTGGGGTACTGAGCGAGCTGACCCACAGCAGTCAAGAGAGACCAGCAGAGTTCTAAAAGGATCTTGTCGAGCAGGGTCTCTCTCCAGTCCATCCTGTTGAAGTTGTTCCCGTTTGTATGGAATAATTAAATATTAACTGGATTGCCCTGTCTGCTTGCTCTCAAAGCATTGCTGAAAGCAAGAAGCCTGGGGTTTGTTACCCTCTTTCAGGGAACACTTCCATATTTTGTATTAAGTATTGACTGGGGCAGGCCCTGGCAGACTTGGTTTCCCGGTTCCAGGTGAGTGCCTCCACTGTAAGGCTGACAAGTCAAGCTCAAGCTTTCCCACTAGAAGAAAGGACTCAGGTCACCCTCCTTACAGAAGAGCTGATAATGTCTTGGTTAAGGTGCTAATTCAGGGGGCAAGAGATTCAAGTTCAAATTGCCTCAGGCACAGGCTGAATACAAGTCTCCTGTATCTTGGCTAAATTGCATCAGCCAGGAGATTGAACCGCAAAAGCTTGGGAGAGGAAGAGAGGCACAGCAGCAAGGAGGAGAGACGTGCAGGAGGTGACAGTACTGTCATTATTCTGTGAGAAAAACCTGGCACAGGTGTCCAGTTCCTAGAAAGCAGCAGAGCAAGCATGGTAAGTAGGTAAAGCAACACACAGTGTTACAACACCTTAGTCTGACTGTGGCTTTGGATCATGGGAGGTGCTCTCATGGCAGACATCAGATTGCTGACTAGAGTTCAGGGTCACGAGGAATGTGAAGAGGGATGATGAAAGTGGGGAGAGCTGCCTGGACCCATCCCAGACATTTAGGGGAAAGATAAAAGTAAAAAGCTGCTGCCAAAATAAAAATAATTTCTCTCTATCACAGGCTCTCTTCAGTGCAATTGTAAGAGGCGAATAAATGGAGAAAGATGTTTGAAAGATAGATAGGAGACAGTGAGAACAGGACTAGTAAGTGAGGCAGAAATGTTGGAAAGAAGACAAAGAGGAAGAAACATCAGAAAGCAACAGGAGGATTGGACAAAGAAAAAGGAAAAACCATAACTTACCAAGACACTTCACCTCTCATTGCCTCAATCTTCTGGCAATAAAATAATAACAGTAAGAGAATCACAGAGCATTTCAGTGACTTTGAAGCCCATGAATATTTAGGAGACAGTTAAGTGTCCTGGTGATCAGGATTGTGTTAAAAAGAAAGCAGGAAAATTTAAGAGAATGTTCTAACATGTCTAAAGCACTGCTATCAGGAGGAAGAAAAGGAACAGGACTTATGGGCTTAATTTTGTATGTGTAACTGAGTATTAAAATCCACACCCAAGCACACTGGTGCTTCTTAATAGTAGAAAAAATTGGGCCTGTTTCAAACCAGTAAGAACACATGGTTTAAGGCATGCAGCCGCTCTTTCTTCACTAACAACCCACTGTGACTCCTATAATTTATTCCTCCCAAGATTCATTTGAACATCTGCAGTATCATTATTTGAGTTTGTTATACTATTAGCTTTAAAATTTTATAAGCCATACAGTAGGATAGGTGACAAGTTGAAAAGTTAAGGAGGGTTAATTTAGAAGTTTTAAAGCAAAGCTATTTTTGAGTTATACAAGTAAAAAAAAGCATCTGAATCCAAACCTCCATGGTTACATTTAAGTAACTCAGAAACTGCTGAAAGGATTTTCTTCGAACTTCACTCAAGACAAATCCCTCTGGGCTAAGACCAAGCATGAGAATTTAACTCAAAAGGTGATTGTTGTCTGAAGGGAGTTTTCTTTTTCCTTTTTTTTTCCCCTCCCCTCCTTTTGCTTGTTTAGTTTGCAATGTTCCAAAAAAAAATAAATAGCACAAAAAAAAAAAAAAAAAAAAAGAAGGATGTGGAGTGTAACTGTTTCATATCCATTTTATCATTATAATAAGAAAAATGCTGCTCATAAACTACCTTTTTATTAAAACCAGACCCCCTGCTTTGCCTTTAGCCATTACTAGCAGTCTTGGTACCCACCTCTACCAGGCATTGGATAATGCTGTAACTGGTGGCTCAACAGAGAAGTATCAAGGTACGCTCTCAGCCCCATCTGCAGCTTCTCTACATGCTTCAGGAGCTCTGTGCAGCTCTAATATTACCCTAAATGGACAACTGAGGATTCCCCTTAACAGGCAGTCTTAGGAGAGCAGGCAATCAGCAGCTCTGCAGCACTCTTCCCTTCGCTTCCCATCCCCAGTTCATGGGAGGTGAAGCATATTCTATACTTGTAGAGTGACCCAACCATGTTTTGATCTCTCACTGGTCCAGGATTTGGAATGTAAGAAAGATAGCTGTAGTCATGCTTTTCTGGGCTCCCTGACTGTTAACTTGGTGCATCTGGCACCATCATTCATTCTTGCCCTTCCCTTGCTCCGGCCAAGGGACTCACCTCCTAGTTGTGTAGCTGAAGGAACCCCCCTTCAAAGGAAGAACCTGAACAATGAAGATGGAAATTTCTGTCTTCTTTCTCAACATCCTGGAAGTCAGTCCTCTTTCATATCAGCATCATGGGTCCTGGTAGCTTGATTGTCTGGATTAAGAAAAAAGACAGTGGGGTTTTTTTCCCATCCTCTTTACTTCAACTTTCTCCCACATTTTGGTTTCTACAAATGGTCCCAGGGCAGACAAGAGCCTTTCACTTCCCCTTCTACCAGGCTTGTTTTTGATTCTCTGGCAGCACATCCCATAGTTATTCACTCATTTGTTTGTTTGTTTTTCCATTTGCAACTTTTGCCCCCTCCACAGAGCTGGCTTGCCCAGGAAAATTACAGTAACTTATTTAATTTCAAATGCATTCAAAAAGGCATTTTAATTGTTCCTTTTCATTTAGAGCAGCATCCAGATTTGGAATTTGTGAAAAACTGAAGGGGAAGGTTTGGAATATATTTGCTAAAATAATTCACCACATTTAACCCAGGCAACTCAGATATATGCAGAAACAGCTTCCCTTGCCTATCTTCCATATACATGACCTGGAATAAAAACTGCTTTGGGCAAGGGCCAACTCATTGTCTGTAGTCCTAACACAATGTGGTTTGCAAACTGTGGCAATACTGTAATATCTAGGGATTTGTTTCAGGAGATCCTGATTTTGGAACCAAAATATATGGTAACTGCAAACTGAACAGTGGGAAATATAGCTGAAATGGGCATAGGGAAGATCATCAGGAATTCAAAGTCTTAAATTCAGTTCTCCTTTATTTTAATATTGGGGAAATCTACTGTGGCAAAAGAGAGAGGCCTTAGAGTGGGTATCAGGATGTGGCAGCCTACAGAGAGAGGCAAATTTTGGCAAATATTGGGAAAAAAAATCAAGAAAATTTTAAAAAATTCAAATCACAATATTTAAACAATCAGAAAGCTTTTCCATTCATAAGTGTCCCATCTACTCTGTACCACCAAACTTCTGGGGTATCATTTTTCAGTCAGCACTTGGCAGTCAGCACTTTAAGCTGTCTGCTGCTATCTCATTCATACAGCTTTTTCATTGCAGGTCAATATTATCTGACTAGGTTCAGATTAAATCTTAATATACCGTTCATCTGAAAAACCCCAACTCCAAGCACACTGAAAAATTGCAAACATAAACAGTACAGTTTCTATGGATGAGGACATATTAAAATGTATTCCAAAGGGAAGAGTAGCAGGAAAAAGAAGAATGTGAAGTTATGATCATTGAGAAAAATGCTGGGATTTATGTAAGGAGAATGATTGAGGCAAAGAGAAGAAAGCTCTGTCTCCTCACTGCTGCTTCTCTAGCAAAGAGGATTTTCACATCAGCCATAGTAAAATCAGACAGAATATTGTATGGGAAGATGTGAAATGAGGAAGAGTTCAGCACAGTTCAAGGATGGCAAAGTATAATGAAGGCAAATGGAAAGAGCTGAAACTGGAAGAGATGAGCTGACGGAACCTAATAGGAAGACACAAGTTTAATTAATAAAGACAGGCAGAGCAAGCTGAACAAAGAAGACTGATTTAAAATGTCAAAATATACCTTTAGTTGTGGCTGCTAAGGTAAAAATAAAGGTAACATATGTAGAAAGTTGAGGAGTGCAAGACTGGGCTCAAGGATGGCAGTGCTGAGAAGACCTGAAACTACAGAGAAGCTCCTCTCAGAAATGACAGCACTGTCTCTAGTGTTTATTGCTGCCTTCCAAATACTCAACATACTGCTCCATTAGCAAAAGAGATCACAAATCACCTCCTAATCTGTTTAAGCCAGCCAGATTCATTTCACCTGGTGATGAACATGGATATGAGCTAACCAGTCTGGCTTTACTTGTAGTGCATTAGGGAATGCTTGCTTGGCCTCTTCTGATGGCAGAGATATGGGGAGGGACCAGGAGCAAGCTGTGGTGTGTTTTTCAGCTAGTAAATGGTGTCTAAAGGCAGAGGGGAGGATATTATTTGGTCTAGGAGAACATATAAGACTGGAACCAATACAGATGTGTGGAAGGATGCAAATTTCTTAAGTTGAATAAGACTCAAGGAAAAAGTTATTGTCAGCAATACAGAGAGAAAGAAAAGTTCATCTCTCAACATCCCACTGATGTGAGTAAGGAACACTTGCATCGAGTGAACTGGCACAGTTAGGAAGCACACTAAAAACTGACTATACCCTTATTTTACCTCTACTATCCAGAGTGATTCTGTTCTCCAAGATAGGTAAATCATGGAAAGTTTGTTTCACTTCAGCTATTGTTATAACAACTCAGAGACCAAGAATTTTGGTTCTGAAAGTGTAGAGATTTTAGAAACATTAAAATAACATGAAACTGAAACATGGAAATATTCTCGGTAGACCACCCTGTGTTGTTCCCTGTAATTATAGCTGAGAATCACAAATCAACATTTTGTTGAGAGGCCACCCCTTCTGTATTTTTAGAGGGACTGAAGCTCTAAAACCTTTGCCACTCCTTTTATATTTATCTTCTGTGTTATCATATATATTGAGGCTCTTGATATTTGACCCAATAGGCCTTATGTCGTTTAGTTCTCCACCATTTATCTCCTTATTTTGGGTGCCTGTCATTCACATTTCTGTAAAGTTCAGCTGAAACCAGTAGTTCGTGTTACTGGAACTTTGCATTGCAAAAATTTAGAAGTAGAATTTGCAATCCAAGTCATCCACAGAACATTCTTATACAGCACATAATTTGCCAACAGCTAAATTAATCTTGCTTCACAATGTGAGGCTGTGTACATGTGGTTTTTGATACAAAACGGTCCAGTGAAATCAATGGTATGGGCATCATATTAACTCAGAACTAGCTTTTTCATGTCCATGAAGCTTAGTCATGTGCTTGCTAATTTAGAACTCAGAGGTAAGCAAGAATCTCAACTCTCCTTTTTAAACAGTGTGAATTTTCAATCCAATTTACCTTGCGTAGATGAAAACATAAATCAGTTACTGGTCTCCACTGCACATACTAATTTAATGAACTGGGGCTTTGACCACATGTGTATTTACACTTTGGGAACCTGAAGACCTTTCCCTATACTGCATTAGGATTGGATGCATGCCAAAGAACTACCTGTGATCTGAAGGGAGGGGGAAAAGGCAGCCTGGCCCACCAGCTAGCACCAGGGTCTAAAACAAGGGCATGAGACAGGTCAGGGGTCAAGCACCATCCATAACCTCCAGCTGATGATCAGTGGAAGTAATGCAAGTGCTGCTGCAGTAGCACCATAGCCAGACAGAAGCCCCAAAGCACATCCCAGGACAATGTCTGGGGCACCACAGATTAGCTGGAAAAGGTTGTATCCAGAACAACATGGATGATCTGGAAGAAAGCTCCAAGAAGAGGGTGACACAAAAATTTCCTCAGACCTACATTCTAGCTCATTGCCTGTTGTACTACAAAACAAAGCACATTTGGGGGTTTTGTCTAGTAGGTTTTCAAAAAAGGTGTATCATGAAAGGTCTGTCAGGATGCAAAATGAAGTTTATAATAAAAAGACAGAGGATCAATATTTATGCACAATCATGAGTGCTTTGGCACTAGTCACATTGGGTGACTTTTGTTGACATGACTGTGCCCCGAAACAGAGACTCCAAAACAGCAGTGTCTCCTCAGCTCTGCCTCCTCTTTGCCTTGTCCCAACAACCATTGACCCAGAGGGATGAAGCCTCGCACTGATCATTCTCAGACCTTGATGCGAGTCCATTCATCAACAATTCCCTTCTGCTGTTCTAGTCTAAACCAATTCTCTTCACACACTTGTCCAGGCAACAACACATCCACTCCCCAGTTGTCTCAGATGTGCAAAACAGTGAAAACAGACTTCTCTGAGCAGATGTTCCTGAGCAGATAATCTCAACAATTTGACAAGAAATGTCAGGTGTCTTTGGCTTCACAGAGAAGGTTGAGGTAAAGCTGGGAAAAAGCAGAATAAAGGCAATAGATAGGGGTCAAGTACAGAAAAACAAAATGCTGCTGGAACATCAATTCATCATACAAAAGCAGAGACTGCAAGACACATTCAGGAAGGGCTTCTACTGGTCACCTCTGGTTATGGTGAGACTCCTCCCTCTACCCTAATACCGGAACTAAATCTGTCAGATTTTGCTTAGGTGCCAAAGGAGAAAGGAAATTATATTAACCATCTCTGTGAATCTGAACAACAGAATTAGTAATGATCTTTACACTTGAAATTTATTTTAAAAGTGTATTTAGCTTCGCTTATCAGATCACGCTTATTAAAAAATCAAAAATTAGAAATTCTGTGATGTGAGAACAAGTTACACTGAGAATGAAAAGTCAGCACATCCCCAGCCTATGGGATGGGAGGGCCATCTGCTATCAACGTTTAGGAAGCATACTTTCAGTGGAAAGTTTCCTTGCAGCCTCAGGCTTTGTTAGAGTAATTGAGTTTAGCTCTTAAGATCTTGTTCTATCCATAACTCTAGTTCAGTGCACCTCAAATCTAAGCCTTGCCAAGGACCCTAGTGCACTGCCCTCAAAAGGGGGTAGTCCTGTATGCTGGGGTCTCTTGGTGGAGTCATGCTGAAAGCAAAATAACTTTGCACAGGCACAGAAATTCCTGCTGTCAGGTTCCAGATCGTAGTATAAATAAAGCTTGTCCAGAAAACACACATACAGGTTTTCTGCCTTGATGAAAGGCCAGCAGAAACAATTTGATTATATTTCTTTCTCTCTTAGCTACACAGGAATGCCATTATTTTTGCATTTTTTCATTATGCAAAGTCACATTGGACCCAACAGTGTAAGTATTCCCTTCATTCTGCTGGTGTTTGGCTTCTTATTAGAAACGTTATCAGAAGGTAAACACAATGCACAGGAAGGTTTGCTGCAGAGTAAGGAGGTTTTAATACGATACCACACCATGTCGACAACCCAGAAATGTTTTAACAGGGTAAAAATATTTTTGGTAATTACAAAGAAGAAGCAGAAAGGAAAGCATCCCCTCAAGCTGACAACATACATTTTATACAGAAAGAGACAAGATATGAGACCATGAAAATTGCACAGACACAAATATTTGAGATGTTACTGAGAGGCAGAA